GGCTTTTGATGTACCTGTCACCAGAATAATGTTCATTGTACCCAATAGGTAAGTTTTTATCCCACATCCCTTCTCCAACCCTCCCCACTTCTTGGTTTCTAATGTCCTTTATATCTTTGTGCCCGTGTATACCCGTCGTTTAGCTCCACTTATTAGTGAGAACATGTGGTGTTTGGTTTTCCATTCCTGATATACTTCACTTAGAATAATGGTCTCCAGTTCTGTCCCAGTTGCTGCAAGAGACATTATTTCGTTTCTTTTTATGGCTGAGTAGTACTTCATGGGGTGTATGTGTATTTTATACATACATATATACACACACACACACACACACCACATTTTCTTTATCCACTCATGAATTAATGGGCATTTAGGTTGATTCCACATCTTTGCAATTGTGAATTGTGCTGTGATAAACATTCAAATGCAGATGTCTTCTTCATAAAATGACTTCTTTTCCTTTGGGTAGATACCCAGCAGTGGGATTGATGGATCTACGTTTATTTCTTTAAGGAATCTCCATACTGTGTTCCATAAAAGTTGTACTACTTTGCAGTCCCAGTATAAGCATTCCTTTCTCTCTGCATCCATGCCAGCATCTTTTGTTTTTTGATTTTTTAATAATGACCATTCTGATAGGGGTGAGGTGGTATCTCATTGTAGTTTTGATTTGCATTTCCCTGATGATTAGTGATGTTGAGCATTTTTTCGTATGTTTGTTGGCCATTTGTCTACCTTCTTTCAAAAAACTTCTGTTTATGTCTTTCACCTACTTTTTGATGGGGTTGATTGTTGTTTTCTTGCTGATTTTAGTTCTCTGTAGATTCTGGATATTTGCCCTTTGTCAGATGTATAGTTTCAAATATTTTCTCCCATTCTGTAGGTTGTCTATTCACTCTGTTGATTATTTCCTTTGCTGTGCAGATGCTTTTAATTTAATTAAGCCCCATTTATTTATTTTTGTAGTAGCTGCATTTGCCTTTGGGACCTTAGTCATAAATTCTTTGGCTGGGCTGATGTTTAGAAGAGTTTTTCCTTTGTTTTCTTTTAGAATTTTTATGGTTTTATGGTCTTTATCCATCTTGAATTAATTTTTGCATATGGCAAAAGATAGGGGTCCTGTTTCATGCTTCTGCATATGCCTATCCAGTTTTCTCAAAACCACTTATTGAATAGGGCTTCCTTTCCCCAATGTATATTGCTCTCTGCTTTGTCAAAGATCTGCTGATTATAGCTATATGGTTTTATTTCTGGGTTCTCTATTCTGTTCCATTGGTCTGTATCTCTACTTTTATACCAGTACCATGCTGTTTTGGTTACTGTAGCCCTGTAGTACAATTTGAAGTCAGGTAATGTGATGCCTACAGATTTGTTCTTTTTGCTTAAGATTGCTTTGGCTATTCGGGTTCTTTTTCATTCCCATTTCTTTACAACACAGCTTACTTGTCCACAGTCAGATAAAATTATAAAGTCTTTGTTGGTATGCTGCTTGGAATGATAAAACTATGAAGGCCATGCTCTATAAAGGCTCCCTGCATTTTTCTGTGTTTGCACTAACCACCAGTAATCAACCAGATAGCCATTTATTCAACATATACTCACCGAGGTTATACATTCTCCCATACCCTACGTACCACTCACCACCCAACACCACTTTCAGACCATTACTTATCTAACCACTAAATCACCACTCCTTGGAAGCTCACACCAGCTGGTTAGTTATATATCCCTCTGCTCTGCCTTTTCCATGGACCTCAAGTTGGCCTTCCTCATCCTGTGAAAAGTCTGGCTGCTGACTCACAGCCTTCCTCTTTGTCTGAAGAGCTGCTATCATCCTAATTTCCATGAGAGGGTAAAGAGTAACCCAGTGATGAGGAAGTAATGATAAGTGGTGAAGTGAGTTAACTCTGTGCCGCCATTCTTAAATCCCTAATACCAATTCATATATAAAATCTGAAGGCACTGGTATTGTATTATTTATCATTTCATTGATGTTAAATGAAGTGTTTATTTAAAAAAACTCAAGAAGCAGTGTAGCACACCAGGTGAGAGCATGGGTCAGTGTGTTCACAGTCACTTACTAGCTATGGGACCCTAAGCAAGATACTCATCCTCTTTAAACTTCATTTTCCTCGCCTGTGAAGTGGAAATAATAATAGTATCTACCTTACATAACACAGTGCCTTGCTTATGATGAATGTTAGAAAATGTTAGCAGCTATGTTATGCATAATTGTTATTACTGATATTAAAAAATGATTAAATGCTGATTTTAACTGTCAGTTCTTGTCTACCTTCATGACAGCCACTGCTGCTCTCCCAACTATGGGTATTTCTTGTACAGAAAACAGAATATATATCTTTACTATACGAGAAAAAGGAAGCCTTGTGTAAGATTGTGGTGCAAAGCCACTTATGTTGTGAAGCTTAAGTGTGAAAATCTTGGGGATAAACCATATTTACTTATCCAAATTATTTTAGAAATTGTGAAATGTGTTTTTTTAAGGCATGGACGCCTGTCTACAAATAATTTAAGAGTCTTCTGACACAATATATAGGGTGGTTTGGGTATTATTTCCTATTCCAGGTTTTACTCGGTATTGAAAGATGAGATTTGGTTATGATTTTCCTTTTAGACATCTTGCAAAGATATCAGGAACTTGAGGCAAATTATAGCTTAAATTTCAAAACGAAGGTTACTAATTTCTTTCAAGACAGAAATTTAAATGATTAAGATAGTTTTTCTATTTTTTTCTGCCAATTAGCAATAAAACAGATGAAAAATCTAAAGAAGTGGCTATCCAATTACATCCTCAGAAAGGCAACTGTGATCATCCTCAAACTCTGCAAACAAATCAAGAAAATAGCAGGTACCTAGACACACACCGAATTCAAAATGTTTTCAACAATTCAAAAATGTTAATGGGATTTGAATATGATCTTACACTAGGTAGGTCATTGATACCAAAGAAGTTAAAAAGTACTTCAGGAGGTGGAAAATCCTTTATTTTTTTCCCCTTGGATTATTGTTATTTGCAATGATTTTTGGTGATGACTCTGTCAGTTCTGTGCACAGGCACTGTGTTTTCAAAGTATTCCTATACTTTTTTTTTTTTTTTTTGAGACAGAGTCTCACTCTTTTGCCTGGGCTAGAGTGCCGTGGCGTCATCCTAGCTCACAGCAACCTCAAATTCTTAGGCTCAAGCGATCCTACTGTCTTAGCCTCCCAAGTAGCTGGGACTACAGGCATGCGCCACCATGCCCGGCTAATTTTTTCTATATATTTTTAG